GTAAAATAATATGATTCACTTGAAACATTATGTTTGCAGTAAAATAATATGATTCACTTGAAACATTATGTTTGCAGTTAGTAAATGATATTAAAAAATTACGATGATTATTAAATCTGATTGTAAGGAGATTAAGTCATAATGTTAATAATATTTTACTGCTTCTATTCACTTGCTGTATAGGTGTTTATTTCTCAATTTGTAAATAATTTGCCGTAATCATGCATGTGATCTCCAACTTTACTTCACATGTTTGATACGAGAAGCTGAATTTTAACTCGTTCATAAAAATAAAAAACACATAGTCATGCAAGTAAGTGATTGAATTTGTCACTAAACTGAACAAAGTTGCTTTTCATAAATGAAGCACTCTACTGTGTAACAAGTTTCAGGAACTATTTTACAATACTCGTAGTTACAGTTAATTCAAGATCTAGTCGCATCATTGTAACTAGTGCATTTTCATTTATAGAACTTGTGAAGATCCAACTGAAGATAATACTTAGTTCTTGTAAAAATCTTTTTTTTTACAGTTTTTTTACAGAGACAGTTATTAAAAGTTTACACTTCATAAACATACCCTTGCTATATGTTAACAGTTACTTACAAGTAATATTTGTAACGCTATTAATATGTATCACTTACAGTACAGTAGCGTATCACTAAACGATTGTAACTACCAGTTTTTCATGCTGGTTGATTTTACCTTCTTCCTTTCAAAAATGTCCTGTTAACTTTCACAGTTGTTATAAAACACTGAACAAAAATTTGTGGGATATATCAAAGACAACATTAAATATATTAATGACAACCATCCTACAAAATATCTCCATCTGTATCTTTATGTATTTAAAATTTGAATATTATAAGAGGACATAAGCTCTAAAACAAATTAAAATCTTGATGCCCTTTCTGGGTTTATAGACTTAAGTTTGTAATGATATCTCTAGAAACTAATCATGTCTATGAGTAGTTTCAAGTCACTCTCTAGGATATCCACCATAACAACAAACATCTTGCTGGACAGTGTGTCTTACAACGATCGTTCACTCTCTAAGATATCCACCATAACAACAAACATCTTGTAGGACAGTGTGTCTTACAACGAGTGTTAACTCTCTAGGATATCCACCATAACAACAAACATCTTGTAGGACAGCGTATCTTACAACGATCGTTCACTCTCTAGGATATCCACTATAACAACAAACATCTTGTAGGACAGTGTGTCTTACAACGAGCGTTCACTCTCTAGGATATCCACTATAACAACAAACATCTTGTAGGACAGTGTATCTTACAACGATCGTTCACTCTCTAAGATATCCACTATAACAACAAACATCTTGTAGAACAGTGTGTTTTACAACGATCGTTCACTCTCTAGGATATCCACCATAACAACAAACATCCTGCTGGACAGTGTGTCTTACCACGAGTGTTAACTCACTAGGATATCCACTATAACAACAAACATCTTGTAGAACAGTGTGTCTTACAATGAGTGTTAACTCTCTAGGATATCCACTATAACAACAAACATCTTGTAGGACAGTGCGTCTTACAACGAGCGTTCACTCTCTAGGATATCCACTATAACAACAAACATCTTGTAGGACAGTGTGTCTTACAACGAGTGTTCACTCTCTAGGATATCCATTATTACAACAAACATCTTGCAGGACAGTGTGTCTTACAACAAGTGTTAACTCTCTAGGATATCCACTATAACAACAAACATCTTGTAGGACAGTGTATCTTACAATGAGTGTTCACTCTCTAGGATATCCACCATAACAACAAACATCTTGTAGAACAGTGTGTCTTACAATGATCGTTCACTCTCTAGGATATCCACCATAACAACAAACATCTTGCTGGACAGTGTGTCTTACAACGATCGTTCACTCTCTAGGATAACCACTATAACAACAAACATCTTGTAGGACAGTGTGTCTTACAACGATCGTTCACTCTCTAGGATATCCATTATAACAACAAACATCTTGTAGAACAGTGTGTTTTACAACGAGTGTTAACTCTCTAGGATATCCACTATAACAACAAACATCTTGTAGGACAGTGTATCTTACAATGAGTGTTCACTCTCTAGGATATCCACTATAACAACAAACATCTTGTAGGACAGTGTGTCTTACAACGATCGTTCACTCTCTAGGATATCCACTATAACAACAAACATCTTGTAGAACAGTGTGTCTTACAATGAGTGTTCACTCTCTAGGATATCCACTATAACAACAAACATCTTCCCATACAGCGTGTCTTACAATGAGTGTTAACTCTCTAGGATATCTACTATAACAACAAACATCTTGTAGGACAGTGTATCTTACAACGAGTGTTAGCTCTCTAGGATATCCACTATAACAACAAACATCTTGCCAGACAGTGTGTCTTACAATGAGTGTTCACTCTCTAGGATATCCACCATAACAACAAACATCTTGCCAGACAGCGTGTCTTATGAATATTCAGTTCGTTATATCAAAATGATTTTGAATATGTAATTCAGCAAGTCATGTGACAACCACAGATGGAACAGTTTGTATCGTAACTATAATTTTGACTGAGATTTTGTAGGTAGTGTGATGCCATTTATAACTGATCTATTTTCTGAATGATTTGTAAAAGACCTTTCTGATGCAAAATATTAATATCAATTTAGATCATAGAGATGTATTCAGATTGGGGAGTTAGAATTTCCAACATGAGGATATTCCTTTACTTAATGGCAGTGGAAAGCAAATGAATATGAATCAACTTGGAGCAACAGGAATATCCAGAAAGAAACCTACAACAAGTACCCCAGCCACGGTAAGCAAAGTGTGGTATCTGTTACAGGTGAGAATTCACAAACACAAAAGTTAGAGACAAAAGTCATCTATGTGTCCAGGCAATAGTAAGCAACATAATCAAGAAGAATCTCCATCTTGAAAAGTAAAGCCAATCACATGAACACAAGTTACTTCCACGACATATGTGTTCAACCATCACATACCTCAAGAAGCGGGAGATCAAAATGGGTATTCCTGCTATACCATAAAAAGACATAGTGTCAATGTGTGGACACAATGCTTACTG